GATGGATGATTCAGAGGGTGGAAATGGTGTGGATGAATCCAGTTTCCCTCACGCTTACTTCTTTGTGAGATATATGTGTGAGAAGGAGAATTGTTTTGGTACTCTCGCTCCGCTTCCGCCGAAGACCCATGATGCTTCGAGGGTTCTTGAGTGTAATGTTTGTGGAAGCCTTAAGGAGGATGAAGTTGGCGTAAATCAATGAGACTCAAGCTGGTTCTGTGGTTGATTTGTTATGTATTCTCTTATGGTATGTGGAATTATACTGAGGCATCAGTTTTGTTGTGTATTTGGAGCATCAGTTTTTGCTTGGTTGAAAGAAAAATCGTAACTTTTTCACTTTTAAGCTGAAAATAATTCAGAATTATATAAGTTTTTGCTTAGTTAGAAAAGCATGGCTTGAATGAAAACCATAGTTTCATCTTCTCTCGGGTCCATTGGTGTTTTCTTCCGTTCCGACGAGACTCCGTTTGATATTATATAACTCTGCAATGTATACACACACATGTATTGATAAAAATATAATAATTATAACATTGATAGAAAGTTTTCCTAAATTAAAAGCATGCCTTATAATTCTCCCAAGTATTTACGACATTCTAAAGAACAGAGATATACATCAACTCCAGCCTTGTGAAGCTTAAGAATGGAAGGGAGCTTGCATCGAGAGTTACACACAGAGCAAAGTGGCCTACAACTAGAGGTGTTGGATACCACTTCTTCATTCGAGCTTGTTGCTGAACCTTGATTGATATACGCATAGCGGTCTTCCACATCGCTGGAAATAACTGAACCTGGCGGGGTAAAATAGCGGTCTGCCACACTGCATGAAATAGCAGAACTTGGCTTGATATATGAGAAATCTCCCACAACGCAGGAAATATGCAAAACGACTCCACAATCGTTGCATGCATAGAACCCTTCATTTGGATTCACTCTTGTTTCACATGCCTCACACCAGTATTCGCCATCCACATTCTTGTCACCATAAGACAACAAGAGAGGATGATCGTCGTACCTATTTTTCATTACCTTTCTCGATAAAAGAGCGCATTTGCCGTCCAAAATATAGTCACACTCATCACAACGAAAGAAAAAGCCGCTGACGTTCCCACATCTACGACAACGCCTATGGTTAAATGAAGAGTAGTAGTATAAAGGATGTTGATGGCTTTCGTGCACAAATGAATCTGAAATTGAAGCGCATCGTACATCTATAGTCACATAAGGGCCAGATTTGTAACTGAAACCGGTGAAATATTGACGACACAGCCCACACAAAGAAATTTCAGAGCGAGAATCTGTGTGTAGTGTGAATGGTTGGTTGTTGCGCATATGACGTTTCTTCCGTGGAAGGTGAGCACATTTTTGGTGGATAATAAACTCACAATGCTTGCAACTGAAGAACGGTTCTGAACAAATCTGGAAGACACATGCTTCACAAAGTGTGCTTTCAGATAGAACCATCCCATCATTGTTGACTTGTAAGTGATGATCATGGCTGAAATGTTTAATCGTGTTTTCATCAATCACCTCGAATGGCGCAATTATCTCTTCTTCGGGTGTCCCTTCTAGTTCGACCATGTCCCATACGTCTTCGCTCGTTGCACATCTTGAATGAACAACAAAACTAGGACATGTGGAGCAAGTATAAGCCCCGTAGAACCCATCCACTTCTTTACGACAAACTTTGCATTTCCACTTTCCATGTCCTCCAAGGCGATGGGTGTAAGAGATGCGGTGCTCGTGGCGGTTGATGTTTATGACTCGGGGTAAACCAATACATTCCCGATGAATCATGAAATTGCACTGAAGACAGAAATAAGGGCTTCGATCCCCTAGCGTCCCACAAGCATTGCAAGTGAAATCAATGCGTCTCGGAACAAGGTGAAGTTGATGTTTATGGGTTGTCGGGCATTCAACATCAACCGGAGGTGGGTTTTTCATACATGCTCTGCAGATGCTGAAATTACAAACATCACAGTGGTGAAGTTGGTGATGTCCTCGATCAAACTTCTCCCCGCAAAGAAGGCATTTCCTGTCGGTATAACCATGAATTTGATATTTAAGTGACTTGAGAGGGTGTTGGGGGTGGCAAGTGTGGTATGCTTCTGGAAAAAGGTCTACACAATCCACATGGATGACAAACTCGCATTCATGACATCTGTAATGTGGGACTGTCCCGTTTATATATCTCTGACATGCTTTGCAGATTTTCCATCCCGAGTAAGCGTCAGGTTCACAGAAGAGTTGGAGTGGATGCTCGTGCCCGTAAGAATTTGCAGGAAGAACAAGTGCTTCTGGTCTCCTCGCACACTCCAAATCCAACTTGAAATCACATATTGAACAACAATAACCAACTTTGAACTTTTTTCCACAGAAACAAGCAGATGGTTCTGAATCTAGGTTGTTGATAAGCTTCAGTGGATGGTCAGGATGGGAAGAGTGGTTGATTTCTGGTAAGGGTTTGGCGCACTCTTTATGGAACACATAACGTTGACACCCCAGCTCATTGCAACAGTACCCTCCATAGATGTTAAATTTTAGATAGCCATTCAAGCCGTCCCCATCAGCGTAATCATCAGCAAGTGAGCTGCTGCACCCTTCACACTTAGCAAAAGCAAAGCGACTAAAAGGTATCAAAGGATGCTTGTGGAGTGGTGATACTACCTCTACTCTTTCCATTCTGATTTGAGAAAAACAAAAAAAAAGATAAAAGAGAATGTG